AACTTAAAAGAGGTAAGCTCTAATATTTTATTATTATCTTCTAATAGCAGTTTAGCTTTAACTATATTAATCTTTACTATTTAAACTAGTAGAGCGTATAGGCACTTGCAGATATAGTATCCTAATACTCTATACTAGTAATAGAGTCCTTTCTTCTAGCGTCTCCTTTTTTCTATAGAGTCTACCTATTTAGCTCTCTACTTTCTACTTATATTATTATATTCCCTAGGCTTTTTCCTACGGCTATTACTAGTGCATATTAGGGCTATTATTATATCCCCTTTACTATCTTTTACTAAAGTTATAAAGTAACTATAGAGATATATAGTTACTATTATTTTTATCTTGAATTTCTTATTCTTTCTTCTTTATCTCTTATTTAATACTTTAAACTAATCCATTTCTTTTAGGTTAGTTATAATTTGCTCTACCTCTATAGCGAACTTATAGTAGTCTATTACTTTAGCTATTAAAGCTATATATATATAGATAGGGTTTAAGAAGGTGTTTTAAAAGTAGCTAATCTTTATATTATTTTCCTAGCTCTCTCTATTAGCACTTAGTAGGAGTTTATTAAACTTAAGCTAGTATTTATACTATAGTTAACCTAGAGAGTGCCTTATATTTATAAGACGCTCTAGAGCTTTTACTTATTTATTACTATCTAAGAAGATTTTATTAAGCTGTATAAAGAAAGCCTTAGAGTTCTTACCTTTTATAAAGTCCTCCTTTTCCTAAAAGTGATATATTTAAGCTCTCTTCTATGCTAGAAGGGTATTATAGATAGTATTCTAGTAATACTTAGCTAAAAGTATTAGTTTTACTCTAGAATAAATGCAATATAAGCTTCTAAGCCTTAAGAGGTAATCTTAAAAGGCCTTCGCCTAGCTATCTTATATTAGCAGCTTCTAATCCCTAGGACTTAATAGTTTATAGTTAGTCCTTATATAAGTTATTGCTAAGAGCAACTTAATTAAAGCTCTTATAAGGTTACTCTAGACTAGCGCGTCCCCTAATAGGCCCTACTAAGCTTCTCTTATCTTCTAGTTATTTATAGTAGCATATATTTCTAACAATTTAGTTTCTAGCTATTATTAGTATATATATATCTCTTAAAAGGCAGCTAGTAGTTAAGCATTTAATATATTATACTAAGAGCTTTTATTTCTTAATAGTATTAACCTAAGATCTAGTATAAAGCTAATAGGTAGCTATAAATCTATAATTAATTAAACTTAATATTACAGGTAAGTTATATATATATAAAGGCTTAATATAGTATTTAATAAGTTTAATAAAAGAGAGAGAAGAATTTTTATCTAGATCTAAAGAAAAGTAAGCGCTCCCCGGTTAAGGCTTAGTAAGCTAAGCATAGGCATAGCCCGTGCTTTACCTCTAGAGCTCGCCTCTTACATTATATATAGTCTAGAATTATAATTATTTAGTCTACTATATATAGTTAGGAATTTATAATTATTAAGCTTATTATATATAATCTGGAATTATATCTACTAGATCTGCTATATATAGTTTAGAAGTATAATCTTCTTTATATAAATAGCTAAGTCTATTATATATAGCTTAAGATATCTACTTAGAGTTCTTATTTAGTAAAGGATTTTAAAAAAAAAAATAAGTTAATTCTAATATTATAGAGCAAATACTAAATATATAAAGTAAAAGCTTAAATTTAATATAAGAAGAATTAACTAAAAAGAAAAGAGAAGCTTCTCTTATTAGAACTATTAAAAGAGATTCTCTAGCTTCTAGAGGAAGCAAGATTGCTGTCACGTTATATATACGAAGTCACATGCGCAGGCACCACGTGCCAAGCCTTAATATTAGATGCAACCTGTTACAGGTTGTAGTAGTAGTAAAGATTATATTTTAAGATCTATAAGAACGTTAAGATACTATAGGATTGAGGAATTAGAATTATCCATAGAGGGGTCTTTTGCCTCTAGTCTTTGAGCTTTTTTTTTATAGACTGGACCTTATAATATCCTTAGTGTTGGGATATACGATCCGCCCTGGGATCCGCCCTAGGATCCTCCCCAACCTTTCTAGTCATGTGATCTAGCTCATGTGATTTAGCATAGCTTAGTCAGCGAAGAGGCATAACCTCTTCGCATCCATAACACCACCCAAATGCTAAGCATCAATCAACCAGCATCAAGTCTATACTACGTAGTAGAGAAGTGATCACGTTCTATGTATCACCACCTGTGATACCAACACTTAGCTTCTCAGGACCCTGTAGCTAGGAGTCTTAGGACAGCAGATTTATGCTATCCGCTAGTCGCTAATTAATTGACTACTACTACGGTACTACGACCCAGTCCTAGTATTAATTTTTAGCATTCTGACATATATGTAGTTTATTATAATTATTTACAGTCTGTGTATCTAACTTCGAAATACTTCCAAATCAACTCAACTCATATCCTGACCGCGTTCACAACCTCTTATATGCTCATAAACCATCTCCTCATCTCCAAAAACACGCATACAGCCCCAACATACATGCGCCTCGCATCCCGTACACATCATGTGCGCGCACCCATCAACCCTAAACATGCGCATGCTACACGCCGGGCATTCCCTTACATCATTCTCTTCATAGTACTGTTTTAGCCCTTCTGTATTATCGCGTTCATCGACGTGCTCGGCACAGCTTTGTCCGCGATGGTATGTGGAGTTACAACTTGTGCAGATGCAGCCGAGACACGAGGGGCAGGTGGTAAGGCTGTTGGTGCTAGGCCTGTAGATGGCGGTGCAGGTTGGGGTTGGGCAGTACCGGAATTCATTGGGGTGGGTGCGGATGTAGGAGTCAAAGGCAGATTCTAGGAGGGTGTCAAACTGACGTATAGGGATGAGCGATCGCAAATGGTTCATGGTGAATGAGTTGGTACAGGTGTTGTTGTCGCCGCAACACTTTAGAGGAACGTCTTTCATTCGGGGCGCCTGGACTTGGTGAAAGAAGCATGAAGCACAATATGTATGCCCACATGTCATCTCAACTGGTTCAATTACTAGACTGAAGCAAATTGGGCAGTCTTTAGGGTCGGATTGGTGGGCTTTGGTTGAAGTTGGCACGAGATGTTGTTGAAATCCTTCAAAAAAGATCTCTTTGACCTCTTGAAACTCGTTGTCAGAACCCCTGAAAATTATAGCCTTCGGTATAACAAGTCTGACAGCGTTCCCGAACTTTGATTCCAATCTCTTCATTGATCCCTGCACAGCATGACGCAGCATTGGTGATGTGAGCAGGATCCGATGCTCGCTAGGAGGAGGTTTGACCTTGGCCCGCAGGCTACGTTCAACTGCCATCTTATCTGTTTCGGAGCCACCGTACATGAGGATCCGAGAACTTGGAAGGTCTCGTAATATTCGTACGTTCTTAGCAGCCGAGAGACCAGCGAGATAAGACACAGCAAGAAGACCAGCGAAGAACTTATCCCAGAGTATGCATCCATTCTCATCCAGAGCAACACTACCGGCCAAGAGCCTGTCAATACTGTCTCTCATCTCCCCCAGAGCTTGTATAGCTTCTTCACCAGTAGCACCAATTTTATACGTCATGTAAGGTTTATTCGGGGCAGAAGGGTGTACCACGAATTGAATATCCCGACGTTCATTATCTCGCTCGATCTGAGCAAATGGCGCCTTGACATGATTCTCCAACATGGAAGGAACAATGAACTTGAGATAAGCCTTCCGCTCAACGTACAAATAGCCAATCCCGTCGATGCTCTTCTTTTGCAGAATCTGTGCTGCCTTGAGAGCATCTTGTGGGTATGAGAATATAGCAATCGCTCTGGCTCTGGCGGCTGTTTGATCATTGCACCGTCTGAATTCCTTAACATCGCCGATACTCCGAACGAAAGCTTCCACAGTTTGATCCATTTCATCTTGCGTAGCTTCGTGCGAAAGAGGCATCAATTTAATAGCTGACGGCTCGTCATCGTCGCTGAATACACCGTAGAGGTCTCCTGCCGAGAGATCAACGTCAAGTCCATTGACATTCAATCCAAATCGTCCGAGGTGGACATATATCTGGGAGGTTGGAGAACGCCCCGACGGCATGATATAACTTTCTAGGACTCGGTGTCCGGCTTGCAATGCGTAAATGCTGCTATATTCAAACCGAGCTCTGCGGCAAATCTTTGGCCAGCGACAGCTGACCGAGTTTGTGATCAAGTACTGGGTTACGGCTCCGCCTACGTGAGACTCTTTGATAGACCCTGATTCTGTAGCAGCCTCCGAGAAAGCCATAACGCTAAAGACCAGCGCTCCGGCTAGAGAGAATGTAGCAATTGCTCCATGGGATGTTCTCTGCGGGGCAATATTGATTGCAAGTTCGTCGTTTGGAGTGGTGGACTGGGAAGGTTTGAAGGAGTTGGCTTCTGGCCTTAGTGCATTAGCCATGGTTGCTATGGTTTAGAGTTGTGATTGAGGTTGCGATGGCGGTTGTACTTTGTGAATGCTTTGTGCTGTATCCGACCGCCATCTTTGATGTTCTCAGACCGCCTCCGTGTGAATTGCATTACATTGTTTCATTATTAGAATCGGAATCTTAAGTAAGGCTGTTTGCTGATGTGTCACGTAGAAAGATGCACCAGATGTCAGGTCTAGGTTGATATTGCCATAGTAACTCGCGAAGTTGCGATTACGCTAGTATTTTAGCGTTAGATATGTGGTTCAAACTTCAGAGGCTCTCGGAAGCCATTCGGAGTAGTGGAGCAATCTATCACTAGGAACTTCTTTCAACTGGCTTAATAGAAGTCTTCCACTATACAAGCTAGCATAAAGTTTTACGGTGATGAAGGTGACGAAGTAGCTACAAGGGAGCCAGGGCTATGCCATATATTGTCCTCAGTGTTAGTATCACGTGGATGGTATACTCGTACATGCAACAGACTTCCCGGGACTAAAAATAAAGCTTTGGGGAATTGCTGAAGGAAAGGGGTAGTTTGAAGTATTACATTTGCTATAATTTTCTACAATCCGTGAGCCATATCACCATCTTTCATTACATCATCTTTGTCCACAGACTCATACGAGTTCAATTGGCCCAACAGCTCAATCCTAGAAGGCCTCCAAGGCCACTTGTCCCACCCCTCCATAATCTCCTTCAGCATCTCACTGCTCAGACACCGCACCGAGAAACGAGACAGATCCATGTCACCACCTTTGTAGGGGTTGGTTAGAGTGGGGCATACGGGCACAAGCCACTCGTAAGCGCCAGGCCAGAGGGCTTTGAGACCCATTTCGACCGATTGGCCTGGGAATAGGAAGAGTGTCGCAACAATGTACTCAAATACATCGTAGTTGGCAGGATAGTCTTTTCGTAAAACAGGCCAGATGGCCTGCGGTTGGAAGTCGAGCAAGGCGAGTTCGTGATGCGGGAAGAAGTCGCTGCGCTCAACCTTCAGCGGCTCTACTTCTCTTCTATCAAACAAGAGACCTGGGGGGTTGTGTCGAAGAAGGTGTTCATTGTCGATATGAGTCCCGATCATGACTCGGGTTTGATGTCCTGGTAGCTTATCAACATCATCTTTGAACTCTCTTGTGAGTTGAAAGAGCTCTTGGCGGCGTGTCTCATATTCCGGGCCCTTGAGATTGTAGATTTCCCGTTGCATATCCATGATTTCGTCGTTCCTTGCAGCATACTGTAACATGACGTCGCCTCTATTCACCTCTGTTTTCTTGCGAGAGCGCAGTCTGTTCAACAGCAGCCATTCGGGTGATAATTCGAAAGGTGCCCGAGACCGGGCCTTTCTTCCCCCCAGGCCCGATTCCTCTTTTTTTGATGGTAGTGGATTTCTAGGGACATCTGAATATTTCTGGAACTCGCCGGCTGCAAATTTAGCCTCCAGGTCGACTATCACCTTGTGATACTGGATCCCTACTCTATCATCATCGACCCAATCGGACGTGTCGCGTTTCTTGTCCTTTTCCTCCAATAAATGCTTTTGCATGGGGGTTTCCCGGCCCTTGGGAGTACTGATTCCCAACCTCTCCATGTTGGCAAGGACCTTCAGAGTCTGCTCGGCGTCCAGTCGATCGTCTCTCCGAAAAACACCTATGGGTCTCCCTGAAGATGCAACTTCTTCGATCTTTCCACATGATATTTCACTCTCGAGGGATGCCTTCTTCCTCATTGCAACGTGCTTAGGAAGTGGGGTTAATCTCTCCTCATCGGTGACCCAGATCAACATCCGCACCGTGCCGTATTTGTGAAAGAGCGAGTGCGATCGTACGGCGCTCATCAATTGATGGAGAACCAGGGTGGTAAGGGAACCAAACGCCTTGAAAGCTCTCTTCGGGTGGTAACATAAATTTGCAACAAATAGAAGGGTGTCATTAGGCTGCTCCAAGCGGGGATCGCCCTGGGGCAGGGGTTTCTGGTGGGGAAGGTGTTTCTCCGAAAGTACGCGTTCGAGATGTGCCCATATCACTCCTGGTTTTGGGAATAATACGTACTTGGAGTCTTCGGCGTCGAGCAATGGCTGCAACAAGGGTTGGTATAGATCGGTATCGGGTTCCATGAGGATATGGGTTCGAGGCTTCAAAACCTCGTGTAGTTTGCGTGACCAAGTTCCAGCGCCGGGGTTCACGTCGATTATATCGCATCCTTCATGTTTTGCTAGCGATGGCTTCATCCTTTCCAAGATAGCATCTGAAAACCTTTTTTAGTGGCATAAAACGTTGAAGTGCAAGGAAATCCTACCACATAAGTCCTCGCCCACAATATTGACCCTCCGCACATCTCCAAAGGCTTTCCTTCTCTTCGAACCTCCATAGCCTTTCTGGAGATGCTGTAAAACAAGCTGCTGTCGCTCGGGAGACTTTAAAAGCTGTTCTTGAAAGTACTGCTCTTCTGCTGATCGTGTCTTCGGATTGCGACCCTTTCTCTTTGGGGGCGGTATATCATCTTCTTCTCTTGCTTGCCTGTCCTCCTTTGTTGCCATTCGCGGTTTTTTATTCAGTACTGCCTCAAGATCTTCCGGAATGGTGTTCTCCTCGTTTTCTTCGCCCTGGGCTCCTTCCTTAGAAGCTAGCTTCTTCCTCTTCCTTTCCGCAGTAGTAATAACTTGGCGGAGGATTGTCTCCGGGGCCATTGGCTGCCATTCTACCGGGAGAGCAACAGTCTGGTGAAAGAATCGAAGACATTGCGGATGCGTATAAAAATTTCGCGTTCGCAGGGCTGGTTTACTCGCGGAAAAGGAGAGGCGTAACATCAATGGCAGGCTGCGCGAGGAAACAAGCAAGGAGCAAGGCTGTAAGGGCAGGTAAAAGATGCAGGCGGTGCAATGATAGAGACAGAGAAAGAGGAGAGTATGTTAGTGAAGGACTAGACCTGGCAAACAGCGGGCATGGACATTGAAAAGGATATGTATAATAATAAATCGTAAGTGGCTTATGAATTTTGTCGAGGCTGAAGAGGAGGCTGAGAAGGAGTGGAAAAAAGGAACGTCAGGAAGCTGCATTCATGGTCTTCTCAGTCTGCCGTATAAAATATACCATACCGTACCAGCAAGTACCGTTCCGTCCCGTCCGTACCTTACCCTTGAATGTTTCGTGACGCGGAGCATGCGGCGACACCTCACCAAGGCAACAAGAATACCAATCACAACACGCTTTCAATGATCAAAAGATTTCTGGAAGTATATCTGCATTGAATTGCAATGGTATGATACAAAGAGCAGCTGCTTCTAGAGCAAGCCAACAGCATATTCCCCCATCATTATCATCCATCCCCACCTCGGCGCGGCAACAATAACAATGGCGGGGTCAACATTGCAAGTTTCGAAGCCCATGAGTGTCAAGGAGATCTCTGCAAAGGCCGCAGACTTTGATTTTAATCCTTACATTGCGCTGAAATACTGGATCCGGACTGCTAATACTCTGTTGCGAGAGGTGAGCTGGCCCTACCCTGCACTATCTCATGCTGTCTATTATCAGTAAATACCCCGCGGCAGATCTCTGACTTTTATATAGGCACACATCTACGAGGAAGAACACAACGACCAGCAAGCCTATCTCCTATTAATGCGATATGCTACCCTTGTCTCAGAGCGACTTCCGTTACACCCCTCCGCGAAACTGCCAGAAAACCGAGCAGCCCTCAAATCAATCCAGAAAGGCTTGCCAGACATAATAGACCGACTGGAAGACTTGAAACCGCGGATCAATGATAGACACGAGACATGGCTGAAGGATTTGGAGCGCAGGAAGGAGGCAAATGTCGCCCTCAAGAGCGAGAAACCGGGTCTGCGGTCGAGATCACGGATAGATCTTGCGGCATCAGATCCCGCAGTCGCAGGAAACACTACAACATTAGCAGCAGGCGAGAACAGTGAGCTGGCTGTGAAGCTGGCCCACAAAGAAATCAGAAGGAGAGATGCTGCTCGGAAGGCTACACGGCAGGCGGGTGTTTCGGAGGAGGAAGAGCAGGAGCGAAGGACCGCGGGGCTATGGGATGATTGGGAAGCTGCACTCGAGAAGAAGGACCAACCAACTTTACAAGAGGACGACGAAACCCGACGCAACATGGAAGCCTCAAGGCGACAACTAGATGGACAACACAGTGCTGTTCCTGATGGAGGAAGAAGGCGACTATCGAAGCCGCCACCCCGACCGCTTCGACCTGAGCATCAGAGGAATGGACACAGTGAATATCGATACCCGTCGATCTCAAGATCGCAACCTATTCGATATTCTGAAGACGGTTCTGTGGAATCTCAATCAAGATCGAGCACCCACCGACCCAGATCCAAATCCCCTGGAAGAGCTCACCTCCCTCCCAAACCACCGAAAGAAAGATTTGAAGAATTTCTACCAATGCCAGAGCCCACATCAACCCCAGCGTTGCCTGGGCGCCCCGACAAAGCAATGCAGGAGTTTGACAATACAAAACCTCCCCAGTCATTTACCTTCCGCCCATCAGCGTACCTTGAGAATGGCAACCCTCTCCGAACAGTTTTCCTCCCACCAACACTGCGGGAAAGCTTCCTTCAGCATGCTGCTCCAAATACTCGAAGAAACCTTGAAACTTGTGGGATGTTATGTGGAACGTTGATCTCCAATGCGCTCTTCATCTCGCGTGTGGTCATTCCGGAGCAAGAGAGCACGAGCGATACATGCGACACAATCAATGAAAGCGCATTGTTCGATTATTGCGCATCTGAGGATTTGATGGTCTTGGGCTGGATCCACACCCATCCTTCCCAAACGTGCTTCATGAGCAGTCGTGATCTACATACACATTGTGGATACCAGATCATGATGCCAGAGAGTATCGCAATTGTTTGCGCGCCTTCTAGGAACCCTTCGTAAGTCAATCAGTGCCTAATACTAAGGCTAAAGCTAAACATTCCACAGCTGGGGAGTTTTCCGCTTGACTGATCCGCCCGGGATGCAATCAGTGCTCAACTGCAGGAAGACCGGGCTCTTCCACCCCCACGACGAAGAGAACGTATATACGGATGCCTTGCGACCAGGTCATGTTTTCGAAGCCAAGGGATTGGAGTATGAGGTAGTAGATTTAAGACCATAGGGTAAGGCGGTGTTGCGAGATATGATTTGCTTTGGAGCACAGCGTTGGCGTTCGGGCTGGGATCCAGGATGGTCCCTGATGGATGAGACTCTGTCATAGATCGCGTGTATATAATTGGGGACGTTAACGAGTTGCTAAGGTTCGATCCCTTGAATTTATCAGTGACTCTTTTCGAATGGGGGATTGAAGAAATTTACCTGTTGTGCGTTCTTTCCTTGATTTGTGGTACACTCAGCTCCTGTTTCATTCGAACGTTTGGCCAAAACCACGCAGCTTCGAACCTCGTTGTGCAAGCTCCCTCACAGACGAGTGAGATTCAGCATTCCTCCTAAAGTTCCCGATTCGCTGCGCTCTGGGGGCTTTGTTCTTGCTCGTTGGTATATGACTGAGGCAACGGACCATACGATGCAATGTTCTCTTTCATTGTCGTCGACTAGTCTTTCTTTGCCCGACGCTCGTGAGTAGACTCAAATAAAGTGGTGTGATGATTTGTGTGGCATAGTGATCTCGTATTCAATGTAGTATTTTGTTGTGTGTAAATTGAGGTAGGTATTAAGACGAGTTATATCTAGCATCTGCCATCTAGCATCTCCTAGGTAGGGCCGGTGGCTAACTTTTCACACCGTAGTTTCGGGGCAGCTAGATTCAAGCTCCATATATTGGCAATTAAACGCGAGTTATCTGTGGTTTGTTGCTTGGAAGTCAGGTTATTTAAACACCCACTCTACGCTGTGCTGTGACCTTAAGCGATATTCCCCTTTCTTTCTGCATCTTTTTTTCTCCCACAAGGTACGGAGTAATCACTCTTCTTCATGGGAGCCATTTTATTCCTATCACTTAATCCTCAGGTGGTTTGTTCCTTCTAGCCATTTGATAGCGGGTAAAGGTGAAGTGTTCTTGGAAGTTAGGAATAACCCTTTTCTACCAAAAGGATTTTAACTCGCTCTTTACCCAGCGGCTCGGTTTTATGATTAGAGGTTAGATACACACCATAAAAAGGCATCCTTAGGCCCTATGGCGAGGAATGATTGAGGGAGTAAATGATCGCTGGCCTACTCTGAGATTTTCGAAGTATTTAGCATATCCACTCAATCGCTACCAATGCTTTTGCTGACCGCAGTAACTGTGCTTGGTGTAAGAAAAGACGCAAAGAGGTAGGCTAGGGAGCTATTCCCTTGTGAATAATATGTCTATTTTGGGAGAGTTTAGAAGCGATGGAGCGAGCACAGCATTCGGTGTTACTTTACGGAGATGTTTGTGCTTAAAAGGACCTACTCAACCACATATCAACCAAATTAGGCAACTTATAACGAGCTGCTTATATTTATGCCACCCAAAGCGTGTACTTGTATGTCGTCAAAAGCACGCTTACTCTTAAGTTGTTTGACAGATGTTCCTGTTTGCCACTTTCCTAGTTCAGATTCTGAAAATTATGTACTGAAGGCCCACTTATACTCTAAGAGTGAGATCATCCTGACCATCCTAATCACCCCTTCTCTAGCTTCACCGACTTTGATATCAGACAAGTTGGCTCCTCCCACTTTTGGGTATCAAAGGCCCTCCCATATATCCATACACCTGCTTCCATCTGACCTGTGGCTTATTAGTATTCTCTCTAAGGGAACGGAATTGTATTCCAAACAAGCCAACTGAAAAGAGTTTGTTTGGGAGTTAGAACTACATTTCGCGAGGGAGAACTTCTGAGGAACAGGTTGAACGACGGGGATAGTGAGAGGATGATGTGGAAGGATGAGTAAGAGTAAAATGTTACGTTATTGAGGCTCTTCCTCGTCGAGCTATCATATACTTTCATGTTAATTAACGCTTCCTTCGTACAGCTGGCTTCTGCTAGTTATTACTCCCAGGTCCTCAGAACTGGCTCCAGCACTCCGCGCTAACCATCATACAATCCTAAGCATGTCTACACATTCCACATACTCAAGTCCATTCTGCGCAAGCTGAACATACTATTTACGCTTGAGCTCCTTGCATTAACTCCCTCTCAAACCTTCTCAACTGTCTTAAAGTATGCCCCACCGCAGCTAGGTACTTAAGGCCTTTTAAAGTGCCGTTATTTGCACCAAGTAACCCTCAAAAGCTAGGTGTTTCCTCCAACTCCAAGCTCTCAGTCGGATATGTAGAAGGAGCGCGGAACAGTGAGTTGGTGACGCTAACAATGAAATCCATCCGCGCACCAAACAAAATAGAATAGAACATACATGGGAGCATTCCCCGGTTCGTACTCTAAGAACCCACTATACAAGACCGCTATCACGTTCTTCTATTCTATCCCGATATCGGGACCCAACGTTTCAAAGATTTAAAAATTACTACTAAGGTAGTTTGAAGCTACACTACTCGAGTAATTGTGAGGCGAAGGCCTGAATTTTTGGTATAGGACAAGATAGACTCGTCCCTGAAAAATTAGGTCTCTACCTAATAATTGGTTACTTGTTGTTATTGGTTACCATCGAGGTTTGCTCTACCTCTGTTCGGTAACTAGGTTGGTAGCGTTGATAGAATTATTCGGGCCATATGCGCCGCGCGGCCAGTCAGGAGGTGCTCTTTCATATTATCGAATCTCCACCCACACCAGTCAGTGAAATGAATGAATGTTAAATGTTTACCATAGGTGTTATTAGTATAACTTGCGGAAATTGGGAAAATTGTAATGAGGAACTGATAGTCTGTTGCGTACTAGTAATAATTGCATCCAGAACATACCCCACAGCATTGCGTATGGCGCAAGATTGGTTGAAATTCGCGTCGTGGACATCTGTCGACCTCGAATGACTCATACATATTTTCTTGACTTGTGGCTCATATCCCCGCGCGGTACACTTTGCAACGGTTTATTGGGCGTTGGGTGTCTAGTAGAGTAGTAGTAGTAGTGATCAATCATTTGACGATCCTAAGTAAGCTGTATAGTGTCATCGTATCATCCGAACCTCAGTATGGCCGAATAGGGTTCGGGTGCACGTGTTCAGTAAAACTGTATATAAGTGACTGCTCCCTCAGGACTTCCTTTCTCTTCGCGTTTGTCCTGTTTATCAGAATGGAAGACCTTGATGTGTACTCGTTCCATATAGGGGACGGTCTGACTACCAGGAGCAACTCGAATTGAAAAGTATTCTTGAATGACTGCAGTTGGCCATCCATAGCATAGAGGAATATGGCTTCATCAACTGCCGTTTGTTTGATTTACTTGGTTTGGATCTTAAGCATGCCGCATTCGCAAAATACAATTTCGAACTTTGAAGATATAAACCTCTGGAATAAAACAAGCTTCAATCTGCAAGTGGCTTCTGTAAATGGAAATACAAAAACGACTCGTGAGAAGTTGAAAACAAAAACATCTTTCCGATGGTGTATTTATTGACTTCAGTCACTTCTTAGCTATCTGGGAATATTTGATGAAGTCATCGCTTTCCGGGGTATTTTCCATAAAGCCTATGTAAAGATGCAATATATAAAACATACGAGGACTCTCAGAGACTTCGCCAGAATTTATCCACATCTACAAGGCAGCAAGCATAAAACCAGACGCCTACTCATGCTGAATCGTGCACCATCATACCGACATCGCTTATACCTAAGCAGAAGCGAGTTCCAGCCTCGTAAAACAGAGTGTATAAACATATAAGCTTTGTATACACAATTAATCGCAATAAAAATTTGGTATCCCAAGAGAGTGTGAAGAAGCGAAGATTTTTGGGCACCAGAACCCACCCCAGCGCTATGGTGAGAACTGATGCCCGGAGGGTACGGAGACTTAGGCGCAAGAAGTTCCCACGCAGCAGGTTACAGAACCTGCACATTTGGAGTTTCCATTGTTTCCTCCATCACCATCATAGGGGAAGGTGTAAGCAGAACCAGCGGCAGGCTCAAAGAAGGTGTCGGTGATGACACTGGCGTCAGTGGCTCCGGAACCGCGTTTGGGGTTGATGCATGCACCTTGTCCATCTAATTGGGCACATGTTCCGCAAGATCCTGAACCAGACTTGTCCTGTATGCTGTTAGTTTTGGACGGGGCTATCAAGTTGCTGGTTATTGCTTACTGTGCATCCACCTGCAGCAAATAGGTCCGTCGCGATACCAGAGACCTTCTGGAACAATTTTGTGCTCGATACCATGCATTTGCAGATAATGGGAACGGAAAATCCATTGCTAAATGAACACGTCAGTTGGTATCTTATGCAGTGGGGAAGCATTATGCGTACACATAGCTGACATCTATATCGGACTGGAGGCCGGCGGCGCCTTGTTGAGAGTAGCTTCCCTCCAAAAGACTGTCGTTGTCTGTGATTTCATAGGCTGCATCTGCGATAGCCACGTTTCCACCCCAGCCTTCTGGTACCGCGAAGACACCAGTGGCACCAACCGCCATCGTTGTTGCGGTTACTAAGTTCCCGTTGACACCAGTGGCACGAGTATTGGCGTCGTTGTCTACGTGTGATGTGCTGATAGCTTTTCCATATGAATTAATGAGAGTGATGGTCAACTCTGCACCATTGGTTGTGCCACCTCCTTGAGCGATAGTAACGCTCGCGACAGAAGGAATGAGAGTCGTGGCTGGAGTTGACGTTGGAGTCGACGTTGGAGTCGTCGAAGTTGCCTTCTTAGATTGTACAGCAGAAGTGGCTGCAGAAGATTGTTTGTTCACTTGGGCGAAGACTGCGGGTTTGTCCGCAACTGAGGAGGCTGAAGTAGTTGTTGCAGCTGGGGCGGAATATTGTGTCGTGGGGACAGGCGCCGCAGAGGTCGTTACTGCTGCTGCGGGGGTATTTATGGCTGCTGGTTGGGTTGCCTCTGGTGAGCCCGCCGTTACGGTTACTACTACAACATCGTTTTCCTATTTCTAGTCAGTTTGACGGCCATTTAGAAACTCATGATACTTACGGTCACTATTGCAGTGGCAATATAATCAGGGTTCGCGATAGGAAGAGCAAGCGTTGTGGCGATGAGTGCCAATGTAAAGAGAAGGATTGCGGGATACATAT